ACTAACTTAAATCACCATCCCAGGATAAAATAGAAGACACACCGTTCACTGTTAAGTAACAGTCTACGATGATGTAGTTAAAAAGGGTAGAAGGAGGAATGCCTAACACCTCACTAGCTCGAAACCTGTTAGCGAAAGTAGTACTGAGTTCTAGGCCATGTGAATGCACCAAGTAAAGGTAAACAGGTTTACCCTTGTTATCATGGACACTGTTCTGCCCTTTAACAGAACCACTAATCTTAGACTTGGTTTCCTCCTTATGGTTTTTACCAAGGCCTGAGCGGCCCTTAGTTAGCTGCATAATCAACAAAGCAATAGATTGATAAACGTTAGGGAACACTAACACCCTTTCTTCACTGTGATACATCACTGGCTCCCTATTGAGGAGGCCCATTTTCTCCATATCCCTTTCACTTCTGACGCCTTAGCCAAGGCCCTTCGACCGATAGGCTGGATAATTGGGTTACTACACAACCAACTTAGCATCATCGACTTGGTAGGCCGTTACCTCCACCCTATGGTGTGTCGTATCCTACAGCCTATTGCTCGATAGGCTCATCACCAGCCGGAAAAGTCCCTATTACCACTACTCAGATTACCGTTACTCCCGATTCCTCAGAATTGGTTTCTTAAACAAGTCAATAAGGCAAATGAGAGCAAACAACATTAGAAATGAGGCAACGACAGTAGCCGAGGAAATCAGATAGGTGGCCTAGGCGCTTTACCGGGCTTCTCTTAACCCCCCGGGAACCTATGGATCCCCCTAGGTAGCTTGCTACCATCAAAAGATACACGGCATTCTTTCTCGTTGGCATGGTTGGTATGCAAAGGGGCTTTAGCCCCTACCATACGAATGGAAAAACAGTGCCCCGTTTGATGCGGATAGACACACAACTCGGGAAACCGTAATCTGCGGCCTTAAGTGCGGTAGGAAAAGAGTTGCGGCTTGGTATGGTAGCAAGCATGAAGAACCACAGCATCACTAAGCTCATAGAGGTAAAGCCCCTTTGCATTAGGGGCAGGTTTACCAAACATTGGATTCAGAGCCCCCAGCAGAGAGTTTAGATATCGTTTCCTCTTGTTTGGTAGCAAGCATAGCAAGCATAGCAACCATATTTCTTGGTTAAGAACTGGAGTACCTCTTATCTTTGCCTTCTTTCGTTCTGAAATAGAACTCCCTAATACAGATTAAGATAAGGGGAGGATCTGGTTAGTACCGAGGAGAAGTGGCTTGCTACTTTCAGATCCATTACATGGGTTACCTGGCTCATATCTATTAAGATAGCATCTATTGATACCTGGTTAATCTCGTATAGCCTCCGAGGTTCCCGGTAATCTCGCTTTAACTCGCGATACCTAGATGACTGGTTACCTGCTGATTAACCTATATCCCCTGCCTCGAGTTCGCTGCATTGTCACCTCCAGGGTAGCCCAGATAGAGTCTTTATGCCGCCTGCTAGCCGTGCTGACTCATGACTCATTTAGCCAGCTGCTAAATAATGCTACGTCGATAACATACTACAGAGACTCATAGGACAAGCGCCAACGTCTTCCGTTGAATTCAAAGATAGTCCCATGTTTTATACGCCGAGAGATTGTCGACGGCTTAACATCCAGAGATTTGCCCACCTGAACCGAGTTATGCGGGGGGATCATACGGGGGGGCCGGGCCTAAAGGCGGGGGGGCTAAACCGGGGGGGCTAAAGCCCGGGGTTCATATAAGCCCCGGTTTAGCCCCTAGCATACCAAGCATAGGCATAAGTAGTGAAAGGGGTATTGAGTCGAGCTTACAAGTAAGGGGGCTATACTTATTCACTCATTTGCTTGCTCCTTTGCATAGCACATATCAGGGGGGGCAGTTCCTTGCGGCACGTTGCATCTCACTGTTTATCAACAGGGGGACTGTGTTTTCATTTCACGGTAAGAAATGCCGTTTATCCTTTGAAGCCGGGCTGGTAAACCACCCGCTGGCTTAAGCCAGCCCTCTGATTTCATCTGCTATCGTCCAAAGAATCCTATTGTTTGATTCTAAATGAATCAAACTCTTAACTTCCTTATCCTGTGTTTAGGATAAACTCACCCGTTAAGTGAGAGAGGGACTCCCTCTTGGATAAGTAGCTACCCGCTACAGGATTCGAACCTGTACCTTGCTATTAGAAGTAGCTTGCTCTGCCTTTAAGCTAAGCGGGTCTCTTATTAGCTTATGGTCTTCCCTTGAGCCAATTCCATTGCTGAATTCCCCAGAACACTATATTGCCGGGGGGAATTTTAAGGCCTGCGGGGGGGTTCAGATAACCCCGGCAAACTATCCCGCTTTAGGGCCGGCTCTTGCCCGGCAAGAAGAAAACGAAAGAACCAAAAATCCGAAGAGAAATAACACCAAGAATAGGAGGAATAAGACGAAGAGAAGAGGGCTACATTCCAATACGACCCTTCATTGACGGAGGGCGACAAGACGTTGAAGCTCCGACATAGAAGCCTTACGGATTCGTGTCACGAACTGCTCCTTACCGGAGCATTCGAGTATCGTGTAGAAAGGATGCCATACCGCTCAAGCAAAATCCCTCGGAGTAAATATACCTCATCAGGGCTAAACGAATCAGTATAGATAGTAACTACAGCGTCACGTTGGGAGTATGACCCATCGGAGCGGAGCGGAGGCAAGCCAGTAACCAATAGCAATAGGAGTGAGTAGGTAAGCAACATTATCCGGTAGAACTTGGAGGTTTTTCCCATCGACCTGTTTATACCAGAGCTTGTGTAGACTAGTGAAATGAGGCAGAGTAAACGTTCCGAATTGGTAAGACTGATGGCTGTTACCTATTCGCTCGCTTGTAAAACTTGAACAATAAGGCGGAGCTCCTACTATTCCAATGGAATTTAACCTTGCCATATGGCACACAAAGTGCTTGTCCTTCATACAAGTTCTAAAGTGGGCGTCAACCCCATTGAGACGAAGACAACCATCGCCTCCTTGGATAAACTGCCCCAAGGCAAAGGGAACACCCTAATCTTCAATTATGGACTCTTCTCTACCCCTTCTGATCTATTCTACTAGACATTATATAGCTACGATTAACATGGTTACCATTAAGATGACCAAAATGGTCACATCAGGTAGGGATGGGATATAAAGGATAGGATATGATGAATCCTTGTAATTAAATTACATTTGAAGCAAGGGTAAATCAAGGTGAGAGGATATGAGAAGGAGTCGAGCTAATGATAGCGATGATTTCATTTTGGTTGCTTATCCCCATCCCCTTTGGTAACTACATCTTAACATTCTCATTAATCATATCCACCCTGAGTCTATCAACCCATTCCTCTCATGAAGTAGAAGAAATTGTATCAGCCTCTTTAGTCACCCCTAAGGCGCCCCTAGGAGGAGGGTTAAACCCAGTTTATATAGATGCCCTTAGTAAGTGATTAGAACTAAGCCTGCACCCTTATTTAACTTCAGAATCTATCTAATGGGGTTATTTTAAGTAGCTACTTAGTAAAGAAGAAGAATGAAGTGTATCACGAGATAAGACTCCAGATAAGAAGGGAAGAGTTCCATTATTAAGAAGGGATAAGGTGTGAAGAAGGAATAGTGAACCAAACCAAGTATTAAGTAGCCTCTTCATTTCCTCCCAGATTGGTAATGCAGTATATCTACTGCATGGTGAACGTAAAGAGGAGACTCAGTTAAGGTAGTTAAAGGGAGGTAGAAGAAATCAAAGGTATCCGATCCGATCCGATCCGATCCGATCCGATCCGATCCGATCCGATCCGATCCGATCCGATCCGAAAGGGGTCAAACGTGGGGGGGGTAAACCGGGGCTTCTCTGAAGCCCCCTCTATACACCCTCCATATTCTAGTGAAGTAGACGATTTAACTACCGTTATACGATACTCAGTATCAGCTTGCAAACTTTGCAGATCCATGTTGGTATTTTGAGGTGAACGATCTTCTCGATGATGCCCTAGATGTGCGAGATTATCTAAGAGATAACGTCCATGTTTAAGCAAGCCTTTCCCCTAGAATTTCTAGGTTACTTCCCCTTCATCGAGGTTTTATTGCTCCTTGCTTTCCTCTTCTAACTTTGCTAGGGGCTAAAACCCCGGGGGCCTACCCCTAACCTAGAACCAATCTAACAATTCCCCCCCTTAATTAACCCCAAGGGGTATAAAATCTGGGCAGGTGACTGAGTTTGGTTAAAGGTGCCTCTCTTGAAAAGAGGCAATGCTCAACGCATTCCTGGGTTCAAATCCCAGTCTGCCCGGTATTTATCACTCAACCCTTGAATCTTAAGTACCTAAGAAGTTAGA